ATATGTATCCTATTAATAGTTCTATAACTAACTCTTTTAAAGGCTTGACGTGCTAAACTCTTGTAAGAACACAAGATTACGCAGTTTTAGACAATTTTGAAGGTAATCGTTCCTCTAATCCGGTGAGTTTGGCACTCAGCCGTGCCATCTTGGTTGAGACTGGCTTCAGCCTCTGCTGATGTGTTTTGTGAAGCAGACGCTTGTGTCAGGCGCTGACATGACTCTCAGATTGTGCTCAACCCAAGATGATCACAGGCTTTCTCTACTAAGTGTAGCTAAATGAATGCTTACAACAACTATTCAGTTCCAAGTTGTGCGAGGATGTAAAAAAGATAGTTGTTTTTTATTTGTAGCTTATGCACCTGTTTATCCCATCGTGTTTTTATGCATCACCCTCACCTACTTAAGTGACTTCAGTCACCTACTAACGCACTCATCTAGTAATTCATTTAACTTCAAATTCGAAAGTTTATATAACCCCCAGCAATTTTCTCCATTATCCACTAACCAGCTTCAATCATTGAGTGCGATTGCAATCTCCGACTTGTTGTGTAGTGCTCATAGTGGGCACCCTTACACCCAAAACCGATTCAGGCTCACATCCCTTTTGGAATCTCCACCGAACCCAATTTTTCTCCCTTCATTACCTCTCAAGGCTAACTTTTTACAATGCATTAACAGCAGTTTACAACAGAAGTAATAGTGGTAACCATCGCATTCATCCACAAATTAGCCCCCCAAATAGCGTCAAACAAAGGACGAACTCTGAACTCAATTTACAAACTTCATTTGCTCCAAGCTAGAAAAAATCAAATTACACCATTTTCATAGACGATAACAAAGGTGTCGTATGTCAAACGGTATAAATGCAGAACCTTCTTGTAAAATTCGTTGTCATAGAAAAAAAAGATAGGGGAGGAAAGTGTGATAGCATACACAAATGCCTGCGGCACGCCACAAGCAACAATTAAGGCGCTCGTTGTACAAAAAAAGGGAGAGAGAGAGAGAGAGTGTTCGAACGGTACAAATGCTCGTCGCAATGTTTGTCGTAGTAATAGTTTTAGCATAAGTAGTAACGTTTATAGTAACAATATTTGTAGTAAAATTTTAGAAAACTTTGAGTATAAATGTACTGGTGAAAAAATGCGTGCACGTCGGTAGCAAAAAATCAGTCTGTGGCACCGTTTGTGCCTTCAATTGGAACAGCAATCCCACTTCCGGCAGCCCCAGACAGTGGATTGAATAGTGGTGGGAGGGTGATGCGGCGTTTTAAAGGTGGAAGGTGGGTGTTGTTGTTGGGAACGCGTGGAATGCCTTTCTTGGGAAGAGCGTACTTCGGTGGTGGCTTCACTTCCACCACATCTGACTGGGGTCTTGAGTCAGCTAAGCAGGAATTGCTCTCCACTCTGGGCTGAGATTCGTCCTTCAAAGCCTGTGGAGCAACAATCTACAAGAAGAGGCCATAGCAAAGTGTCTACCGAGAGAGTACGCTTAGTACTAATGCCTCAGCTAGTACCTGTTGTTGTCCAGCCAGGAGGAGGTGACGTAGAGCCCTTACTTCTGAGTTCAAACCATCTAGTTTTAGGCGTAGAAGGGTGTTGTCGGATTCGAGGCGTCCTGTTACTTCGTCACGCATTGAGAGACGTGCCCGTTTGTTCTCCCGACACCGACGAACCGCCTCATTGTTTTTGCGTCGCCGCTCCCTATACCGTTCATCATCGTACTGACTCGATGGACTCCGAGTGGCTAGATCAAAAATATTCAGTTATCACTGCATACTGAAAGCAGAAGCGCCTATAGTAACGGGCATCTCAAACAGTGACTGACTTCCATTGCGTCGCCTGGTAGGTTCATTTGGAGTCTCAATTTTCTGCTGAGGTAGGGGTTGAAGCCCCAGTGGAAGACACGGAGACGACTGGCGGAGGTCCCACGAAGGGGTAACATGGTTATCACCGTTAACCCCGTCACTTAACAATGGAGATGCTGTAAGAGCTGCAGCGGAAATAAGGGCTTGAAGACCAGTGCAGGCTGGTGGAGTGACCGGATTTGGAGTGGTATTCCAGCTGCAGGATTGTGAACGGTTTGCATTGTAGTTGCCTTCCAGAACTCCTTGGGGAGATGTCGAAGTCAGCACCGCCAATTCTGTGAGTTTTCCAACTGTAGAGAGGACAAAAATACTCAAATTAGTTGGCTACCAAATCCCATCCCCTCAATCCGTATTCTTCGACATTCGGCCTACTAATGGAATGCATGCAGCTTCCAATGGTCAAGTTGAAAGGTTAGGTGGAAGTGGGGAGAAGAAGGAGAACAGTGTTACCACCGCCGACATCTGCTGAGGCAGGGCTAGAGAGGAAAGGAAAGGGAGGGAGAAAGGGAGAAGGTTGCGCATGACTCACGACTGGGGTGAGGCAGGCGCGAGTCACCCATTGGTCTCGGCAATCATTTCTGGAAGCCTGAGAATTTGTAAACACACACAGCAGCAGTGGTGTTAGTGGCAAACAGGACTTCAAGTCAATAAGCCAATCCTCTAATGAGGTGTGAAACAGTAAATGTGGATGGTGCTGATGGCGGTGTTAGTTGCTGATCTAGAGGACGTGGATA